GTAGGACCTTCATCGATTTAACAATCCTTGACCGTCTTGTTGATCTCAAAAATAAAATAGTCATTCCCAAACCAAAACAGCTAGATGTTGGCTCTGGCGTTGTGAATTTTAAAACAGGCTTGCAGCAGTGGATTGCTTCTCTAAAGCAAGTTTATCCTGGAATGATTGATCCTGCTGCCTCAGACCAACTCTGGACACGTTTTAGAATGTGGATACGCGCTGAAGCCCTCAAGTTGCAAGACATCAATTATGAGCAAGCACAACAGAACTTCAGCAAGCTGCTGAAGGAAGTTGGAAGTCAGCTGCTGAAGGAAGAAGTGCTCCTTCTGGATAGTGAGCCATGGTCTGAGAAGCGTCCAGCTTCAAAAGTGCAGCCAAAAGAGGATCAGACAATTCAAGCTGAAGAGGTTAGTCAGGCTGAAGATGTTGCAGAAAGCTCTCAGAAGCTTCCTGCTTCTGACGTTTCTCAAGCTGCCTTGGACAGGCAGACTCTGGAAGAGCTGAAGCTGAATGATATTCGTCTGCAGCAAAGAATGGATGAAAATGATCAGAAGATGAAGGAAAGGATGGATGTGCAAGATAGCAAGATAGATACAGTAGTCAGCATGGTGCACAAGCAGAATGAAACTGCTGATCAGATTAAGACAATGCTGGAGACTCTGTTCACACGCTTTCCACCCCAACCTTAGTTTTTCATTCATGATATTTTCATTGTTTTCTTTGCATATCATTTGTACTGTTTGTCTGGCTCTGAATTTAATATAACAAGTTTTTCTGCTCTGATCGTTTTAGCTTATATTACTTACACTTTTTGATTGCTGACAAAAAGGGGGAGAACAAGAATGATATTTTTCAATAACGGATTACTGAGACAAAAAGTCTCAAACATTCTAACACTCTGATATTCTTGAATGTTTTCTGTTTTTGCATAAGGCTACAGGTACAAGAAGTTAATCATCCCTGATACACTGAAGCTCTGATATTCTGATCTGAAGCTCTGATATTCTGATGTTCAAAGAAAGTCAAAAGATCTGATCCTGAAGAACTCTTGGAATTAAAAAGGGAAGTAATAAATTCAGGGGGAGTATCTCCGATCTAAACTCTGATATCTCTTTATCCCTTATCTTTGATAACTTCCTAATTAATTCTGATACATCTTACTATTTAGTTATCTCTGATACTTTTCACGCTAATTTTCAATTAAAAAATATCTAGTTTTTGTCATCATCAAAAAGGGGGAGATTGTTAGAACAAAGTTTGAATCTACTACCCTAAGTTTAAGTTTTGATGATAACAAAATGCTAAGATACATTAATTGTATGATTCATGTAAGACACACACGCTATCTAAAAATTACATTTTGTTTTACAGAAACTCTGATGGGTATCAGCAAGAGAACATCATCATCAGCATCAGAAAATTGGATATCAACATCAACATCAGAAGATGTTATATCAGATACCAGAATCAGAAGATCAACTTGCGCTTATGCTCAAGTTTGATGAACAGATCTGCGCTTAACCATCTGAACTCTGATAAAGACAACAACAGTTCATCAGCACCTAAGCAGCGTCAGAATGAGCCAAAGCCAGAACACGCTCAAGTGGCAACGGTACTGTGCATTCAAGATGATTTATTACCAACGACATCATTCCAGACAAGATCTGCTTAATAAGGAAAGCATGTTATTGGCATTGAAACAAAATTATTACTCCAACGTACACTATTTCCAATGCTATATAAACAAGTCAATGAAGATTGAATTGGCTAATGCTCTACAACACTCTACACGCCTAAAGCTATTCATCATCTTCCTTACTCTCAGTTTGCTAAAAGCTCTCAATTCCTTACTCAATTATTTTAGCAATCTAGTTCTCATAAGCTTAATTTGTGTAGTATCACAGTTGTGATAAACAGTTTTTGTAGAAAACATTCACACACCTAGATTTCAATTCTCTGTAAGAAAGTATTTCCTTGAGAAACCAGTTTGTGGTTTGACTCAAGAAGGCTTTAGCAGTTGTTAAAGCAGTTGTAATATTCAGTTGAATATAGTGGATTAAGACCTCGTTGGAGAGAGGCGAAATCACCTTGACGGGTGGACTGGAGTAGTTTGAGATCAAACGAACCAGGATAAAAATACTGTGTTGACTGCAATTGATTTCAAGTTTTAACAATTCAACCCCCCTTCTTGTGTTTTTCACTTCTTCAAAGACATCTAGTACTATTTGTAACGACTATTTTTCAAATAGTCAACGGCTCTATTTTGTTTAGCTATATAAGAAAAGAATCGTATATTAAAAACTGTTGGTTAGTTAGTTGTTGCTCAACACATGATGCTGAAGGTCAGCCTTTTGAGATCACTGATGGATATCATTGGAAGGAAATCCTGATAGGATATATCACATGTTCTTTACTTTTGCTTATGCTTTAAAGATTATATTTTCTGAACCAAATTAGAAATATTAATTAAAAGCAACAATCAAAAGCATTGTTCAACAAATAATGCTTAGAAGCGAAAGTTTTACAAGAAAGAAAAACTCAATTCCACCCCCTTTAGTTTTTACTTTTTACACTTCTTCCAACACACTAATAAGGTTAGTTTGGTAAAAATGAAATATTTTATGACAACATCATTACATTTTAATCATTATACAAAAATCTTAAACAATAGTCATTTTGAAACGCATGAGTAATTAACATGTCTAATTATCTTCAATATTTGATATTCCCCTTTCTTTTTCTTTCTAAGAAGTTTTCTTTCGTGGGATTTCTTGAGATCTATCACCTCTTTGTTTGCCACGCATTTATTTCTAGAACTTAGGTTGATGTCCTATCACTTAGGCCAAGTGACATAATTTGGATGGTTCAAATGATCAGATGGACAGTAAGGAATGAACTGCACTATAATTGCACGAACGTTAGAGGATCCATTTCCCTTGTTTCTCTATTTTCAATTTCAAATTTTGTCTAGGTGGACCAATACAAGTAGTGTACCATATAATCACGACTAAAATAACACATCTGGAGTGCATATCATTTGACTCTGATAAGTGTACAATGCTATTTAAGCACTATAAAGGAATGCATATCATTTGACTCTGATAAGTGTACGATGCTTTTTAAGCACTATAAAGGAAAACAATTTGTTTAAAATTTAATGGAACAAGAGAAATAAGTAACAGGTTACAATGGTTGATCTGTGACATTTCTAACTGCCCTGCTTCGAGTTGAAGTATAATATAAGTCGAATTATAAAACAGGGTACAGTAATTTGTTCAAACTTTGTTGTGTTGGTTTTGTTACAAGGTGCAGGGGTTGACATTGAGTATATATTGATAAAAAGAATAACAAATACAAAATGAGTATATATTCACATATATTTTGCATCAACCAAACTCTAGAAGTAGAGCCAACAAACACTATAACCAAAACAAATTCAAACAGTCTTGTTGAGATCATTCTCTATATAATAGTTTGTACATACAAAACCAAATACTAGTATATTTGAACAACCAGTATATCTCAATTAATAAAACTCATCACAATTGTTTGAGGATACAACAACTAAACATAATTGAACATCCATTATATCTACGGTCGGAAAAACAACACATTGGCAAGAAGAATTAATTATATCAGTAAATTGTTTTAGACATCAAAAGTTCAGAAATATGAAACCGAAAGAAGCAAACTATTTTTCAAAGAAAAATCAGTTGTGAAATATGTGATTTCACAACTTTTACCTGAAAGATATATCAGATTTTCCCAATTAAACTTCAAATGAATGAGTATGCCTCAATTTGCCCCCCTTTTCCTATCTCTTTTAAATCCATTAAATTATCAATTCGGTCATGAATAAGAGATCAAGTTAGAACATTAATCGTCTACACAAATCTATTTGTGTGGCAACATCAATAACCAAAACATCAACAACCAAATCTTTATCCCACTAAATGGGATCAGCTCCATGGATCAACTTACACCATAATATTCTATTCAGGACCATGCTTCTATCCTAATCGTTAATCTTAAAATCTAAACCAAAACATCAACAACCAAATCTTTATCCCACTAAATGGGATCAGCTCCATGGATCAACTTACACCATAATATTCTATTCAGGACCATGCTTCTATCCTAATCGTTAATCTTAAAATCTAAACCAAAACATCAACAACCAAATCTTTATCCCACTAAATGGGATCAGCTCCATGGATCAACTTACACCATAATATTCTATTCAGAACCATGCTTCTATCCTAATCGTTAATCTTAAAATCTATTTGTGTGACAAATTTTCCAAAATCAAATTATTTGGCTTCCCCTATAGTTTGACAAATGCAAACACAAGGATCCCTAAAATTTGAGATGTGAGCAGTCACACCATCTAGGGATCTTAATAGAATATGAGTAGTTTGATCTTCAAAGAAGGGCAAGAGTCCAGATTCACAAATATGTGTAAGCGGAAAGAAATGTACTTCGATACCTAATACTTCTCGCAAATCTTAACAGAAAGTGGAAAAAGATTAAACCCTATTTCTATTCTTTCTTCGCACCAGAAATAACCAGAAATAACGAAATCTAGCAACATCAAATGAACATAATGGTTATGTACACAATCCAGAACAATGATTTATTTCCCTATGGATTCATAATAAACCAAAACAAAATAAATAAATAAAATCAATAGCTGCTAAAATTACAGAACAAATATATCGATTACAGAAAATTGATAGATCCATCAACATCATAACCAAATCATGTATAATACAAAATCAAAATAACAAAGATCCGTACATATAATATTCAACATTCATCTTTACCTATATTTATATAAATTCAATTTCTCAATACAGATCATGGAATTTTAAAAATAAAAAAAAATATATCAAACTAATTTTTTAATTTTTTTCAGCATTGGTTTCGCCACAGCACCAAAATTCAACGGATCAGAATAAAGAAACCGTCACATTACCAGATTCAAGATATCTTCAATTCACTCAAACGCGTCCGGCGGCGGAAGTAACAGCGGCAGCAGCAGGAGCGCGGAGGAACGAGAGGAATCCGGTAGTCTGAGAATTGTCTTGCTCATCAAGGAAAAGATCCTCTGGTGCACGGAATGCTCCATGAATACAAACAACAGCAACACCAAGCATCAAAGCAGAGACGAGAACCGAACCAACACTGGTGAGAAACACAACGATAACAGTGAGTCCAGAGAGAATCGCTAGGGTTTCGAAATCGGTGTAAGTGCGGCCGAGGATAACGAGAGGCCGATCGGTGGGACGGAAGAGGTAGAGAAACGTCCAGGAGGCGAGGAGGCCGACGAGGAGGATGAGAGAGAACGGATTCGTCAGGAGAGAGACAGCGAGGATTCCGGCGACGATCGCGTAGTAATTGACACGGAAGTATGAATAGTTTTTGCGGACACGGAGAGTAGCTTCGGAGAAGGATTCGGGTTTTGAGAAGGCAGATCTGTCGATGAGTTCTGTCCAGGGGCGGCGGAGGGCGAGGCCGTGGCGGAGAGACTCGGAGAGGTTGTTGAAGAGGACGCGGACGGCGGGGGAGTTGGCGGGAGCGTCGGATCCAGTGTTAGGGACGGTAGATGGTGGTGGTGGAGGCATGGTGGCGACGGGGAGGACGGGTGGTGCGGAGGAGGACATTGTAACGGTTTAGAGAGAGAAAGAGAGAGAGGTTTGTTGGAGTTTTAGAGAGAGAAAATGAGAGGTGGGGGTTATAGAAATATTTGTAATTGTGATTTTGTGAAATACAAGTAAAGGGGTTTTTGTTTTTGGTTATTCTTAATGGTTAAGGTGTTGAATCCACCACCGACGAAAAAACGCAGTGGCGTTTGCGGGTAGGAATGTGATTGGTTCATTTTCGTCACACGTCGTTTATATCATGCCAGCGTGTTTGTGGTAATATAGTGGAAGTTTAGTTTAGTCAACAAAAAATGATACACTACATTTTTTTGACAATATAAAACTTTATAATTTGTCTACCTTATTTTTATTGATTTTAATTAACATGTGTCAATGTTAAAATAAATAAATCTCTTACAAGATGTACATGTGGGAAAAAAATTATGGAATAGTGGCATAGTCCAAGTTACAAATTAACAATCCTCTACAAGAAAAATTAACAATCCTCTACAAGAAAAATCTAACATATTGGTTCTGAAATTTTTTAGAACAACTCTCTAGAAAATAAAATTTTAAATTATTAATTTCATTTTCGCTAATTTATCCGTACATTTGTTTCTCTCTTTATATAGGTGGATAATATGATGTTATTTTATTTTAATTAACTTCATTCGAATAAGTTTTTGCAAGCTTCTTTTTATTCCTGAGACTCGGTGGTAAGTGCTTCACAGACCTTTTTGGAATTTGTTTGGATCATCACTTGTTGAATCATTTTATTTTGAACTAGTTTGATACCTTCAAACATTCCCACAATTCAGCAATAATTGGATTGCATCTTTTCAAGTGTTGAGTAAAAACTGAAATCCAATTACCTATGTTATCCCTAATCAGACCTCCACTTCCAACGTTGGCCTCCCTCGTGATAGCTCTCCATCATTATTGAGTTATATTGAGTGACCCGCTCTTGATGATCATGGCTAAATTCTGATGCAAGTTGTAGTTCTTCTCGTAGAGTTTTGATTCCTCTAATGCCATAACACATGACAAGCAGTTGCACATGCTTTATGCCAACTAGTCTCTTTCTGCCTATTTTGATTACTCTGCATGTTGAAAGATAGCCATTCCTGGTCACTCATGTTAAAAATTTGCCCCGTTGGTTTGTTGAAGAAGTTTCTACCATGTGTGTTTCATACTTAGGCAATCTCTTAGTGCATGAATCATCAATTCCTTCACTCATGCATAGTCAACGCAATCAAGATCACATATATGCTTATGGGCCAACATATGTTTTGTCTTTAAGCCGTTGTGATGCATCATCCAAGTGAACATTCTAATGCGCTCAGTCCCTTTTAAACTCCATACAACCTTCCAATTCACACTAGCTATGTTGTTTGGTTCATTGACAAGTTTTGCATAAACTAAAGCAATAGAGAACTTGTCGTTCATGGTTCCTCCCCAAATGCACTCATCCTTGCACATGTCACTTTTAGGTGGAGGAATTGTCGTTATCCTTTCACTAATATGTTAATTGAATATCCTTCTCAATTTTCTCTAGCTCCAATTCCCTTCATCATCAACAAGATTCACTACCTTCAGATTTTGCTGCTCATTCGAATGGTTAGACATGAAATCTTTCAACTGAATACTCTTATCAACCCAACAATCATTCCACTCTTCAATGGTTTCTCCATTGCATACCCTCCAAACAATAAACTTATCAAGGATATGCCAAATATCCACTAAAGCTTTCCACAAACCAGAGTCTTGAGTTTTCACTTCTCTACCACTTGTACCTATTGAAACTTTGCTATATTTTCCTCTGAGTACTTGACACCCCAGAGAATTATCATCTTTGATGAGATTCCACCCTATTTTTTCCAGGAACGCTTTATTCATTACTTTCAAATTCCTCATACCAAGGCCTCCAACCTGTTTATGATTGACAATCTTGATTCAATTGATTATATGAATATGATTAGTGCCTTCATTATTACCCTATATGAACTGTCTTTGGCATTTTTAAATTTCCATGAGACAAGTTATAGGCATGTTACTGGTCATCATAGAATAGGTGGATATGGCTTCAATTATAACTTTAGTAAGTGTTGTTCTTCCTGCCATATATAGTTTACTTGTTTTCCATACAGTGAGCTTACTTTTCACTTTTTTTAACTATGTCCTAGAAATGTATTTGTTTCGGGCTCTTTCCTATAATATGGATGCAAAGACAACCCTATATGAGTATTTTCTTTCACACCTGCCACTTGCAAAATATCTCTTCTAGTTGAAATGCTTGAATTCTTTGAAAAGATTATGCCCGATTTTTCATAACTGATCATTTGGCCAGACATTTTGCAGAAAGAATCAAGGACCTCTTTGATGACTTTCATTTGATGTATCGTTGCTTTCACAAAAATAGAAAATCATAGACAAACATTAAATGAGAACTTTTGGTCAACTCCTCCATGCCTTAATACCTTCCCACGTGTTCTTCTTAGTAGCATCATTGATCATCTGTGATAATTTTTCCATACATAGGACAAAGATGTGAAGGGAGATCATATCTCCTTGCCTTAATCCTTTCCTAGTGTGGAAATAATATTCCTTCTGACATTTCCAAAGCATTATCATCTTGGCTGTTTCAATATATGCCATTATGACTTGTATAATTTTGTCAGGTAGACAAATCTCAAGAAGAACGTGTCTTACAAAACCCCAATTTATCATGCCGTATGCCTTATCTAAGTCCACCATCATAGAAAAATAATAGGTCTTATCCTTAACTTTAAGTATGTTGTGGAGCATTTCCTGAGCTACGACAATGTTGTCTTAGATACTCCTTCCATGGATAAAATTTGTTTGACAAGGGGACACAACCTTATCAATGAACCTCTGCGTCTTATTCACAATGCTCGTGCTTAAGACTTTATAGACAATGTTATAAAGAGAAATTGGTATGAATTTAGACACCAACTAGGGATTGTTGACTTTAAGTATAAGACATAAATATGTATGGTTGATCTTTGTAATGTTTTAAGGACTGCTCCACAAATTTTGAATGAACTCAATCATAGCTTTACCAACTTTATTCCACGAATTTTTTAAAGAATCCAACTGGATAGCCATTAGGCCCAGGGGATTTCCAAGGTACCATACTGAAAATAATACTCTTTATCTCTTTAGATGACAAGTCATCTTTGAGATGCTTCATTATCATATTGTCAAAATTTTGAAAGGTAGTTTTAGTTTGGTACCAATCAGCCACATCCACATCAGTAGTGTAGAGATTATCATGCCAATCCTTAAATAATTCTCGATCACATTGGAGATCCAATTTCTCGTGAATTCTTAATCCCCCATGAAATATGGGGCCTCTCCAGGTGAATTTATGCCCTAATGAGTCAATATTCATGAGGTGACAAGCATTAATCTAATCCTAAAACAAATTACATTTGCACACAGATGTTAGGGCATCACCTCTTTTGTCTTTAATAGTCAAAATATTATTGAAGTCGCCTCCTAAAATCCATCCTTTATGCTATTGAAGTACCATAATTTTATTTATCAGTATGAACTTTGTTTACACCGTGTTGATTTGTTACACTAGAATTTTTGTTTACATCAATATGTAACAGAGTTTTGTTTATCAGTGTGAACTTTTGTTTATCAATTTTTAAGACCAGTGAACTTTATATATATACCACAATACCTTGTTCATAAACATTCATTAAAATTTAACAAACATACACCTTGTTCAAACAAACATACAAAAGGAATAATGCTTGTTCAAAGAGGCATACAAAAAGAGCAATGCTTATTCCAACAGACATATAAAAGTCGACATTAAACATTTAACATAAACTATACATGATTAAACAAAATGATCTTATTTTTTGGAGTGACCCATTTGTTAGTGTAGTCCTCATTATAGTTAGGCCAACTGCATTATGTGATGCACTTAATCTCATAGTAGGACCTAAGGTTACACCAGATATTGATGTCTTCCTAACATTCAACTTCTTTTTCCTTTCTTGACTTGGTTGAGATGGCTGACAAACTTGACTTTCCTATGTTGTGGGTGTAGCATGTGTTTTTTGACTAGCTTGACTACCGTGATTTTTTTTTACTAGCACTAGCTTGACTACCATGAACTGGTTGAGTAGTTGGCGTCATCTTTCAAGTAGATTTGTTACTCCAAATTTTAGGTGGAGTCTTCATCATATGTTTAAAAGTCTCTTCATTGAACACCCACATTCCCTTCATTGTTCTTTCTCTTGCATGTGGATAAGTTTATTTTGCAGCCTTCTATATAATTTCTTTCAAAATCTTTCTAGGATACTTCTTCCTAAAGTTGTTATACAAGTGTCTCACACAAAATCTTTGTTCAACATTAGGTATTAGCTCATTCATTACATGTAATAGACCCTGCAATACAATATACAATACAACATTAATGGACATAACACAAATATAACATAAATAAAATACATGAATATAAACTTGCTATACAACATACCTTTTGTTGATAAAAAATGAATGTGTAGAAAATACGCACATTCCTACCTCCAAGATCATCAATAAGAAGCTCCAAAAACCATGTTCAACTATCTTTTGTTTCCCCTTTACAACAACATAAGTTATTGGCGGCATCTGATCATTAGGATCTCTACTAATAGCTGTCAAAATTTGTCTTCCACAAAAATCCTTTAGAAATCATCCATAAAGACCAATGGCATGTCTACACAACTTGAAACACTTCTTACATGCTGCAACACCACCATGCACATCACCATCTTGCACATTATCATGTTTCCCCCATCACCATCGTTCACCTTAGATTCCCTTAATTACTTCATAAAATTTAACAAGCAAATCTCCTTCTTCAAGATTTACAATGTCCTTGTGATTTAACTCTTCTTTATCATTAAGAGGACCCACATAATACTCTGACTGAGATAATATATGTTGTATATAAACATCAACACTTAAATACATCCTACAAAGATCAACAATATCTAATGCACATTTGTCATCAACCAAAACATTCGTTTCAAAGGTGAGGTCCTTGTAATATATTGTATTTATTTCACTATATCCTAGTTTCTTAAATATACCTACCAACTCAAAATAACTTCACTTGTCAACATCAATTTTTAAATCATCAACTATTCCTCATTTATACACACTTAGTTCATTATCCATGAATTCACCACCATGATGAACTTTCAAATGCATGTATTCTTCCATTTCTACCTATTTACCTATGTCTAGCAGATTTATAATTAGAAAGGAGGCGAAAATTAGTAAATCCTAAAACGATAAACCCTAAAATCTAAAACATATAAAAATTTAAAACGATGAATCCTAAAACCTAAAACATATATCAGTTGAATGCATATAACCCTAAAATCTAAAACAATAATTATTAACAGTTGTAAACACTAAATCTTCAATGGCATCTTTGCAATTTTATCACCTTCAATTTTGCCTTCCCTCCTTATCTCATTCGATTACGAAGCCGCCTTCTTATGTGAGGATTGTGTTAGCAAAATGATGAGTTGAAACTCAACTTTCCCTTAAGGATAAGCGTGACACCATTTGAATAGATAAAAGAAGAAATTGGTCTTTTTAAAAGTGAAAGAACCTTATGTCAAAAAAAAGTAAAAAGACCAAATAGACCCCAAGTTAAAGATAAAAAGACAAAAAAAAAAGTATTTATCCTTTATAAAAACATTGATAGTTTAAAACCCATTTACCTAAACACCCAATTTTTTTAAATCTTTTTGTAACACCAACTTCCAAAACTTCACAATCCTAATTTTCTATTCTCTTCCTCGGTTCATTGTGTTGCAAACATGCTGTCAACAACTTTCTTCTACAGTGGGAATCTTATATACATAAGAAAATGTATCTAGAATTTACCAAATCATAAGGAAAAATGTATCTTCCATAATTTACCAAATCATACTCTATCACTGGCAGAAATCAAGCACACATAAAATTGAACACTGTCTTTGAAAAGTATATGAAAAAGGATAAAAACGTGATTGAAGTACATTGCAACACTGCGTTCACAACCAAGACAAAAACCAGACATCAATCAATCATAGATATAACTATTATGGCATCATATTAATAAGCATCAAGACAAGTATTTCATCTGGCAATCATGTTTAATTGATCATGCATCATCAATACAAATGTGCAATAAAAATGGCGCCCGATAATGTTTGTTCAAAATAACGATAAGCACACATAATCACCATTTGTCCATACAATCGACCAAATTGACTTGCATGACTCGCTTAGGCCACAAGAAACCCCAAGTAATGTTACAACATCAAATATAGACATAAAACAGAAACAAAACATAATGAAGACTTCATCCAACATTCAAGGTACCATGAGTAACCAAACTAACATGGAAATCAGAATGTAGAACCGTTCCATCCAAAGTTGGAACCCTGCAACACAATCAAAGCAGAATGTCAGCAAAAGAAGCAGAATCAACTATTTACTGTGCATGAAAGCAAACACTAAAAAAAAAGAGGTGATGCCAAATGAAGATACAGATAGAATTACTAATTACATCTTAAAAGGGGCTAACTAACAGATTTGAACAGCAAGGATTAATTTACATGATCTATTGCTGATGTAAAGCATGCAAACACTGTGCATATTCTTGACTCTGATGGGCCTAAACAAAATCGACGGATGCAATAAGAAAAGATTCCAGAGCAATGACCCTTCTTTTCATGACAACTTAGAAATTTATACACTTGCCTTGGTGTCATAGAATTTCAAGAAGAAACGTGACTTGGGCACGGACAACTTGGTTTCGATAATTGCAGCAATTGCAGCACTGAGTTTCTTGTTCACATCCGGGTTAAGACCGCCAATGGAAACCAGTTCTCCGTAAGCTGCTGGCTGCTCAGTCCCACCAAAAGATATGGGTACCGATCCTTTCAGTACAATCATCACATACTGCGAAATCAACAAAGGTGTGACTATTAATGCTTTAAAAACACTGAATAAATCAAAACTACAAAATATTATGGCAAATCAAAGAATATAGTAAAAGAGAAAAATAAACTACCAGGCACAAAAGGCAATTAAACATAAGTATAACACCCTGGATCCAGCATCAATCTAAAGCATCCTTAAAATTCACTTAAGATGGTTTGTTCAAATTCAAATCGAAGTTGTCAAAGATGATACATGAAAGGAATTCAATAAGTAGACTTGGTATCGTTTTTAATGTTCTGAATTCTGATAATTTTTAGCCTCTATACCGTCCCTCTTGGCATGTTAGACACATTGACTAGACAATGTTTAAAATTTACAAACAAAGTGCTAAAGGCATGCCTTGACTGAGCCGGAAATGAGAAACAACAGTACACAGAAGTGCCTTATGGGATATCTCAGAAGCCTTTTAGTACACTAGTTCAAATGAGCAGTTTTAGAAATGCATATTGGAAACATGAGACTGCTAGATACATAGAGAAATGCAGGACAACTTAGACCAACAAATGCAGATTTAGAACTTTAAACAGTTAGATTAGATACACAGGGAAATGTAGAACGACTTCGACCAACACACTGCATTTGCAGACAGGTCATAGCGGAAGACCAAAATAGTATCTCGGAGACAAACATGTCCAACGCCAACCATTAGCAGAATCCAGATAAGAGTTTAGACCCATTGTTGTTCTCCATCAAGGTAAGCTGGATTTCCAAGAGAGTGAACCTCCATCTTCAACTTGCGATCTAATCTAATAATAAAGGTTTTTAATAAACTACTGCATTGCAACAACAACAAATGCAGACTCAATGTCATGATTTACGAGCCCCTTCGCATCAGCCACATATGTCAACAGTTTCCAGAACATCCAAGTTCAACAATTAACTGCATCCCCACAACCTAAACCCTTTATGAATTACTCAAATGGTAACGACTCCATCTGCATGCGTTAAGGCTCCCTTTCAATCTTGAATTGTTTTCAACTGGCAGATTCTAGGGTTTTCCTTTCAAAAAGGACACACCAGTGTTCTTTCCCCTTGTGAATAATAGTTCATTGATTTTCAATTAATAACCTATGAAGCTCTAACACCCCGACCATGACACAGACACGTGTCGGTGTTACATACTAGTTAATAACACAGTTTTCTACAAAACATTCTACTACAAAATTAGGTTAAAAAACATAGCCACCCTTTCACAGAAACCAAAACCTCATCATCTATCATTTTTCACAAATCAATGCAAACCATATAAAATTTCAAACATATTGCAGAAATTGATAACTATTCCAACCAAACTAGCGAGAAAATCATACAAACATAGTAAAAAAAGAACTGCAGATACATAGAGAGAAAGAGACGTACGGCCTCAGGTTTTCCGATGATGTTAGCGACGGTGGAGGTGGCTTCGGAGAGGATGGAAGAGGTGTCGATACCGTCAAGGTTAACGTTGGTGGAGAGATTGAGGCACGGCATCGTTTCGTTTCGATATCTCTCTCCAAATCAGAGTGAAAGTAAGAGCTACTTCTAAAAACCAGTTGTGGAAATTCTAAACCCTTTATAAGATAAACAATATTTACATGGCATCGTGTTTGTTTTCACTTACAAAAAAAAATGTATTTGGACACAACTTTCATACAAATACAAAATAGCCTAGTATTCCTACCGTATTTCTTTTTCTTTTTTAAGTTGAGAAAATTTATTTTTAAATATATTTATTAAGTTGTGTATCTTATTCATATGTAGTCAATATACATTGAAACAATATTATATACACTTTTTTTTTTTTAATAATATGGAGGGCCTAAGTCTAGAAAGTAGAAAAACTAAGCAACAACAACTCTAGAATATAAAATATCATTGCTATCATTCTCAAAGTTACTAATGGACTAATTAGACATATCTTGAAAGACTTTGTACCTTTTCTTCATATCTTTTTCATGTTTAACAAGCAAGTGAGCACACCTATTAACTTCCCTATAAGTATGTCTGACTTTCACTATCTCCAAATTTCTCATTAACTTTTGAATTTGAAAAATCAAGTTACAATTGGAGATCTTGTTTCTAATAACTTTATTGACAATATCCACAACCTCTCGCGAGTCCGCCTCAACAATAGTTTTCGTCCACCTATTCGTCACAACTATCTTCAAACCTTCATATATTTCCCATAATTCCGCCATTAACGGACTACAACTTCCCACACACTTAACAAACCCACCATGTCAATTACCAAATTCATCTCTAATAACCCCCCACAACCTGAGACACCCTTCACATTATGAGCTTCATCTACATTAACTTTGACAAATCCACTTATAGGACAAACCCACTGAATCAACATTTCCATCATGCTAAATCTAATTTTGACAGCATCCTTGTAATCTTTCAACTTCTTAAAAATAGCCTCCTGAGTATTGTACGACCTAACATAATTCTCATTATGCAACTCTCTATTCCTCCAATCCCAAATCGAATGGAAACCAATTGCCCAATACTCGCACCAATCTTCCTTCTCCTGTATGGCGCCATAAGTGTTACTTGTAATTCATTCCTATAAGTTGAAATCATAAAACTCGTTCAAGATCGAGGGTGGAATTTTATTCAGCTAAACAAATTTCGCATGCTTGCAGTCCCAAAGCGCATGCAAAGTGTCTTCTTGACTATGCCCACATATTGCAACTTGCACTACCAATGCCTTGAACAAATAACCTCTGCCTAATTAGCTACCTGTCATGATGTAAAGTCCATATAAAGCATCTAACCCTCTTAGGAATGAAGGGGTAAGAAAACACTTAGAAGAGGGAGTTGAATAAGTGACTCTTTTTGCTTTCAAAACAAAGCTCAAACAATAATGGAAGAACACAGTTATTTTTATCCTGGTTCGTTTGAACTCAAACTACTCCAGTCCACCCGCCAAGGTGATTTCGCCTTTCTCAACAAGGACTTAATCCACTATAATCAACTGATTACAATCACACAATAATTGTTGTGACTAACAATGCACAGGTAAACTTACAAGTGACTAACACCACTAAGACTTAAATCTAGTCCTAGTCTGCTTGAGAAATCTGACCAAACTTGGTCTCTCAAGGAATAAATACAAGAGTTTAATCTTTACAGATAATGAAATAGAGTTTGCTTCTAATCAAGCTATATCACAACTGTGATTCTTCACTTAGAATATAATGCACAAATTGTATGAACAATGAGTTTGTGAGCTTTTTGGATCTTTCACGTAGTTTCTTGCTTCTTTTGAAAATTTGATTGGTTTTCTTGGTTCACTTAAAGTTGTTGGCTTGCAATAAATGTCCTTCTATTTATAGTAGGAACAATAAGACCGTTGCTGCCTTCAGAAAAGATAAAGAGCATTAAATGCTTTGCGTGTATCCTTGCAATATTCCATTTTCCAAGAAACTAGTTGTAGGCACTTGAGTGCTTTCAGCCGTCTTTGCATTAATGAGCAAACGTCAGAATGTAAGAACATGTTTTCCTTTGATTTGACAAGACAAGTTGATCTAAACGTTACTTCAGATTTTTCTCCAATGTCTTTAAGTCAGAACATGCTTCACTCATCTTCTAGGCAGTGCGTTGCTTGCTAAGAACTTTGAACAACGCTTGTTTTCAAGTTATCTTCTAAACAAGGAGCCTGCTGGAAGTTAGAAGATATATTTAACAAATAAAGTGTCTTACCAGAGTCAGCAGACGCGTTTGAATAAAATGTTCTTTTATCAAAGAACTTCTTCATAATCTTTGCTTAGTACTTTAGAATGTTTTCTGTCAGAACATTAACTAAGACATTCAAAACACATTCATCAGAGCATAAATTATCTTAAATATAATTTAGTTATCATCAAAACTCTTGAGATAGGTCAGAACTAATCTTGTTCTTTCAATCTCCCCCTTTTTGATGATGACAAAAATTATTTTAGATAAAGAAAAGAAACGTATTTAAGAGATAAGAATCTACCCCTGAAATGAATATTTCTATGCATAAGACATCCTGAGATTATTTAGTCAGAGTAATACACAACCTTCTTGAATTTCTTCAGAACTTCTTCAAGAAGATAAATCTTAGCTGGAATATTCTTTCAGAGTTAAAGTGATACCTGCAAAAAATATTCTTTTACACAGAAGGAATTCTTGCAAATTTGTTAGAATGTCTGAGACTTAGTCCCATAACTGTTAAATAGTGATTAGTTCAAGAATGCACATTTTCTCCCCCTTTTTGGCATAATCAAAAAGTGTAAGAAATGAGAAATTTTGAAAGATTTCATAAAAAAAGTTAAAAATAGATATCCAGAAGTACAAAAAAAAAACATCCAAATAAGAGACAAAAAGAAACTAGGATTTCTTAGTGACAAGAGCCATCAGAAGATTCTTGATCTCAGAGGCAGATTCGTCTTGTTTCGCCATCCAGTTCTTGATCTCTAGATTTGTTTGATCTTGCTTATCCATGTGTTTATTCAAGACTTCATTCTCCTTCTTTAGCTCTTTCAGAGTGTCCATAATGAGTGAGGTAGGAGCAGAAGATGATGAAGCTTCAGTAGAAACAGGCTCAAAAGCAGCAACCGTTGAGTCAGAATTCACAAAGGTGGAAAGCAGAGTGCCCAGATCCATTGCAAGAGTTGGCACAGGTTCAGGTCCAGCCTTAACAGAAGGTTGATTCAATAGAACAATAGCCAGAGGATTTGAATATTCAGAGGATTCTTCAGATTCATCTTCTGATATGTCCATCTTATCAGCTGGTGTACCAGCAATCATTAGCGAAGACTTCTTATTCCAAGTGTCAGCAGCTTCTGTCTTGAAAGCATGCAGAAGTTTGGAAAAGTTGTCCAGCACCTGAAAATGGCACAAGTCCTGTAACTTCCGTGATTCAACAACCAAAGTTCTTCTGAAGGTTTCCCATAGAAGATTTGTTGTTGTTGTGTTCACGCTTCTGGAGCAATCTTCTTTCAGCGGTTGTAACCATGCTTGAACATTTGTTATAAAATTCTGAAACAAAGTATTTACATCTGGCTGAACAGGTTTAGGGACAGACGTTCTGTAAGTTTTGTTTTTCAAGAATTGTAGAGATTGAAAGTCCACTACAGTTCTTAAAAAGCTACTGGGTTCAGGATTATTGGTAGGTTCAGGTTCAGGTTGGTTAACACAAATAGGAGGTTCTGATATTTCATGAGGTACGGATGGTTCAGCAGTTTTAGTTTGTTCAAAAGGTTGTTGTTCTGGAATTTGAGGAGTTGAGAGTGGTGTTGTATGTTGTGGTGAAGTGGGTGGAGTGACATCAGGAGAAATTATTATTGTATAAGCATGAGTGGGAATGGGATTTTGAGGCTGTGGTTGATTCATAGCAAAATTATTCTCAGATGGTAGGTTGAAAGGAGGTTTTATGGTTGCTAGAGGTTCATTTATCCCTGGAATTCTCCAAGAGCCAGCATCATACCATCCAGTGGGTCTGGGTGATAGAGGTCTGGGAGGGGGTCTTGAAAAACGTTCAGCAGGAATAGGTTGAAAAACAGATGGTTCAGGGGGTTCTGATTGAGAGGGTTCTGATTGGCTGTCAGAATGTTCATCAGAGTCAAAATCACTTAAATCTGTTAAAAACTGATTTTTACGAGGGTTGTCAGGAAGGGATTAAGATGGTAAGGTCAGATCAATGTTAACATCTAAGTCTCCTAAGGTTTGGGAGGGTTCAGCAGATGCAAATACATTTTCAGAATCATAAACAAGTATAGTTTCAGCATGATTACCTGCCTTTTTTTTCTTCTTCTGAGGAGTGTCAGAAGGTCCTTCTACAGCTTTTCTCTTCACAGATTCTTGGAGAACAACATCAGGAGCAGCTTGATTTCTTCCTTGAAGCCAAGCTGGATCAATGGGTGATCCTGTTTCTTTGCAGATCTCAAGATAGTGCAAAATGATACGAGGATGATCCCCTGAGTTGAACATAGGAAAGTCAGCAATAGGAATCCTTCTCCTCTTCACAACAGTTGACACACATGGAGTGGGTTCCACCGGCAGTTTGTCAATTATTTTCCTTTTCAGCAAGTTCTTTCCAGTCATAGTCTTACCAAAGATAGGTTCAAGCCCCCCTAGAAGATTTGCTTCTTTTAGGTGAGCAATCAGACCATTCTCAGTCAGAATGTCTGATAATAACCTCCCCATAGGAATCCAATTCCTCTTTGATTTGGGGTTCTTCATCCTTTCCGCTTCTCTGGTTTCTTTGACATGGTTCCAGAGATGTTTAAAAAGTAAGTAGGGCAAATCAATTTTGACATTGGTTCCAAGGCAAAACAGCAAATATTGTTGATCAGTGTTGATGTAATCAGGAGAACTGGTGTCTTTCCTGTGGTGAATACATCCATGAATAATCCTTGCCCAAATCTTATATTTGTCTTTCAAATCCCTGACTTTGGAGGAACCTTGATCGTTAGTGAAAATCTCTGAATATACCCTAGACATCTCCATTCTTCCACTGG